AAAAAAAAAAAAAAAAAAGTAACAAGGCCTCAAGGAAAGGAGCACACAGTAGTCCCATCTACTTTGGAGGCTGAAGCAGGAGGGTCATGAGTTCCTGATCAGCCTGGACAACTTAACAATTGTCTCAAAAAGACCTGGGGATGTGGCTCAGTGGTAAAGTGCTTGCCTAGCAAGAGTAAGGGTCCAGGTTCAACACCTCTCCGCATAAAACTGCCAAACAGAGAAAGGAGCCACATGGCCAAATAACATCCTATGAAACAAAGGACAGGTGCTGAGTGAGAGGAGGGTCATGAGACCTAGGAACATATTGGGGCAGAGTTGACACAATCTCCCCAGGAGCTCAGAGAGGAAAGGAATAGCACACTCTTGAGCACCTGGAGCAGCAGCCAGTTACAGATGACCAGTGAATAGCCATTTGCCTGTGGCACAGAAGGCAGGCTATAAAGCAGTGTGAGCATTTTCCAGCACAGAAGGGCCCTCCTGGCAGGACACGGCTCTGGGGAGTTAGGATACAGGGCCATTACAAAGCACTTCTGCTCAGTAGAACCAAACAGCAGAAGCCTCATTTGCTTGTGGCTCCTTGGAGGGGACAACAGAAGACCACGCCCTAGGGGCGATCTAGAGGAGCTTCAGAGGATTCTCCAGCCCCAAGTCTTCAGTCAAGTGGAACATCCTCTACCCTATGTGAGGCCTCAGCTTGAGGAGCACATCTGCTTTCATGTGAACACAGGACACAGGGTAGCCTACCTGGATCCACTGCTCACGGTTGATCTCTACACCATTGGCCCGCAGTGAGGTGATGGCTCGGTCAATGATCTTCTCCACCATTTGCGTGTTCCCATTGGCCTCCTCAAGCTTGGCAGCTGTGATCCAGATGTGCCGGTCTGTAGGAATGTTCTCCCGTGCTTTGTTTAAGACCTTGCGGGCATTTTCATAAGTCTCCAGCCTCGCGAGAGCAAGCCAGAGCTAGAGAGGATATCAGAAAGAGGACGGTATGCTGACAGCCACTAGCATGGAGCATTACCCTCCAGACTTGGGATAAGACAACTTCCAGGACCCCATAGCACCTGCTTTCTCAAAACTAAACTGGGCACACTGGCAGATGCCTGCAATCTCAGCTACCTGGGAGGCCAAGGTAGGAGACCAGCTTGAGAAAGTTGGTGAGATCTTGACTCAGAATAAAAATTTTCAAAGGGATGGGGATGCAGCTCAGTGGAAGATCATTTGCCTAGCATGTGCAAGACCCTGGGTTCAATCCCTACTATTGAGGGGGGAAAAAAATCTTTAAGGACCATTTAAACAAGAGCCCAGAAAATGTTTACAGCAACATTTCTCATCAATTGACCATTTGGTTGTGCTTCTGACTCAGCGACTAGTACACGAAAAGTTGATGGCACTCTTGATCAGAGGTCCTAAGCCCTGGATAAATGTATAGAGTATGTCAGCCTGACATCAGATGGTGGGGCAGTGGGTGAGCAGGGTGGGTTGGAGAAGAGATGGCTGCTCAGCCTTCTGGAATTCTCATCCTAGATCTGTTAATTCTGCATCACTCCATCCCAAAATGTGTATGGGCTCTATTTATTTTTATGTCAATAAAATAAGATTAATTGGAGAATTTCACAATGTCCCTTAGAATAATTAAAGACATACTGGATATCATAAAACCAAGACAAAAATCACTGCACAGAATGCTGTGAATTGCAATGCTTCAACTAAAGAAACCCCACCAGCCATGAGGTGAGGAGCTGAGCCACGAGGGGCTGGCAGAACAGCACACTGCTTTGCATACCTGCCACCCTTCAGTTCCCACCTATAAACTCTGAGGGGCATTAGAAGTAATATCCCTGAAAGAGTGCCCAGTGCAATTTTCTACAGTGGTCTGGGGTGAGCAAAGATTTAGTTCTGCATGCCATTCCCCAATTCATGCACCCACTCCTGCTCTGCAGTTCTATCAGCATATGTCTAACTGAAGCCACCTACCACCCTGCCTGGCAGCTGTGCAAAGAAGCTGGGTTTCACCCTGCCTTCTACACCAGAAATCAGAGCCCAGGTGAGACCTTGCTCTTTGTGGGTTGCTGCAGACACTGAAAGGCTTTGGTCTTCCTGAGCCCAGCACACTTACCTCTACACTGGTGGGGCAGCACTCTACAGCTCGGCTGAGCATGATCCTAGCATCTTCTGGCTCTTCCAGTTCAACAGCCGCTTTCCATAAGCGAACAGAGTTTGGAACATGTTCAAGGGCTGGGAAAGGCAAACACGAAAGCAGGTCACAGAAAGGGGAAACAAAAACAAGAGGTTCATGCAGGAGCATGCTGCTTCCAGCAAGAGCTGAACTCCCCTGGTCACAGCCAAGGGCTACAGATCTCAGCCAAGTCAGGTCACAAGACAAATAGAGCACCTGAGTACCTCAGAAAGCAAGGGAGTAATCAAAAGCACTGGTCACACTGGCAGGACTAAGGACATAGGAGGAAGAATGAACCTCAACAACATGCTAGCCAGTACTAGGGCAGCGACACCAGTAGGCCCCACTTGCAATGACGATGAGCACAGGTGGAACTGGTCATGGTGGTAGGTGTCAGAAGGATGGCTACACTGGGTACACTGGCCCACACCTACAGCTTGGGAAGCTGAGCCAGGGGAATAGCAAGTTCAAAGCCAGCCTCAGCAACAGTGAGGCGCTAAGCAACTCAGCAAGACCCTGTCTCTAAATAAAAATAATTTTAAAAGGCTGGGGGTGTGATTCAGCAGATATGTGCCCCTGGGTTCAATCCCTGGTATCAAAAAAATAAAGAAGAGTGGCTGCTAGAGATGAGGCAGTAAGCCGGGACAGTCTGTAGACCTGGTGGGGGAGGCAATGCCTACATCTTGGCAGGGCACGGGAGCATTTGGGAGAACCACAGATGGCACACCTTACTTGCTTAAAAACAATGTTAAAAAATTCAAAAAATGCCTAGCATCAGAAAGACCTTAGAATCACATTTTCCCTTAAAACAAAAGTCATGCAACTTTAAAACAAGAGGGAAAAAAAATCAAGAGCAAAATAAAACAACGTATAGGATAAAGATGGGATACTCTGAAGGTCACTAGGAACACAGCTGACACATGTACACTTGTGAGCCACAGTCTAAGACCACAACGAATACCTGAAAATGTGGACAGCACCATACCCAATTGTAAGCTCTGCAATAATATGCAGCAGGCCCTGGTGATAACTAAGTAGCAAACAAGTAGGCCAGATACACAGTTGGAACACTAGAGGCTAGACAGGGGAAGGAATGCTGTCCCAGGCAGGAAAGCATGTGATTAAGTCACACCGCTAATGAAGCAACTCAAAACCAATAAACTACTTATTTCTGGAATTTTATATTTATATTTTTGGGCCATAGTTGACCATATGGGTGACTTAAGCCAGGGAAAGTGACATCATGGATAAGGGACCACTATCAAACTGCAGTATTATTCAAATGCTCAACATGACAGGCAATGTGCAAGAGCTTAGAGCAGTGCTAAAGTGCTACTCAGACCCATGAAATACAACAATGCTAAAAAAAAAAAAAAAAAAAAAAATCGGCCATTATTCAGGCACCGCTGCACTAAGGTCCTAAGGTCCAAGCTACTCGGGAGGCTGAGCAGAAGGAACCTGAGTTCATGACTAGCCTGGGCAAGTTGTGAGAACCTGTCTCAAAATTAAATAAAATGGCTGAGGATGTGGCTCGGCAGAGCAGTTGCCTAGTATATGAGGCCCTGTCTTCTATTCCCAGCAAAACACACACACACACACACACACACACACACACACACACACACACACCCTGATTTTAAATCTTTAGAAAATGAACAAATTTCCCAGTCATCTTGGAGAGCCACTGGTTATTCTGAAAGCTAGCAAACAAAAAGAACAAATTCAGCACCTATTCTTTCTTGAATAAACTCAGAGTAAACAATACTGATAGAAGTTCTCTTTGGAATACTTCTGAAAATACAATCAAAACCAGTAGGAGAGCCAGGCATGGTGGCCCATGCCTATAATCCCAGAGGCTCAGGAGCCTGAGGAAGGAGGATGGTGAATTCAAAGCCAGCCTCAGCAAAAGCGAGGCACTAAGTAACTCAGTGAGACCCTATCTCTAAATGAAATACAAAATAGGGCTGGAGAAGTGGCTCAGTGGTCAAGTGCCCCTGAGTTTAGTCCTGGGTACCCCTTCCCTGCCAAAAAAAAAAAAAAAAAACAGTAGGAGAGCTGTACTATCACCACTGTGTACACTCTCATGACCTAATGGGCACAGGCACTTGTCAATTGCTGCTCAAAGCAGGAGCCCAATGGCTGTGAAGAGCTTCAGGAAGGACACTCAGCTATTGGACATCTCACCTGTCAAGAGGAGCAGAGGGCCTGAGTGTTTCCTGATGCACTCTAACACTTTTTACAAAGCAGGACAGAGGGGGAAAAATCAAGCTCAATTCTTGAAATCAGGAGGTACATTCTCCAAATGTACCTCCTGATTTCAAGAAGTCTCAAGAAATGACAGATCCACATTTAGCCTCATGAAGTGAGCAGAATCCACAGGAAAAGCCAGACACCCACCTAGAAAGGACACATCATTCAAAGGCGCCACTCAGTCCTGATTCACACCTATGGTGTGTGTGTGTGCCTGTGGCATGTATTGACATGTGGAAAATTTGAGCACTGTGGACACTGAATGAGACAATAAATTATTACTGTTATGTTGTTATGACTCAGAAGTAGCATGGTACTCTGACTGTAAAACATGCCTTCACTTTTTAGAGGAACGTGCATAAAACCTAGGGTTTGTTCTATAAGGGCCACGTGGATGTTTATTAGAGTAGCAGGTGGCACAGACCACACCACAAGGTCCATGCTTCTTGGACATTGGAAACCAGCATTAAAAAGCAAATTGCAGAGCTGGGTTTATGGCTCAGCAGTACAGCATTCACCTAGCACGTGCGAGGCCCTGGGTTCAATCCTCAGCACCACATATAAAGGTTTTATATTCAACTACAACTAAAAATAAATAAATTAATTTAAAAAAAAGCAAATTCCAGCCAGGCGTATGCCTGTAATCCCAGCCACTCGAGAGGCTGAGACAAGAGAATCATGCGTTCAAAGCCAGCCTCAGCAAAAAAGCAAGAGGTTAAGCAACTCAGTAAGACCCTGTCTCTAAATAAAATGCAAAAAAAAAAAGAAAAAAAGGGCTAGGGATGTGACTCAGTGGTCAAGTGCCCCAGAGTTCAATCCCCAGTACAAATAAAAAAAGCAAATTGCAGGGCCTGGGGATGTAGCTTAGTGATAAAACACTTATCAAGTATATACAAAGCCTGAGTTAGACTCCCCAGCACTATTTTAAAAAAAGCAAAAAAACCCCCTGCATACAGAGAAGGCAACCACCATCCTCCATGAGAAAGGACTGCCTGGGCAGGTTGTGATGAGCAAACAGATATCACAGAAAACAGAACCCCCCTGGGAGGCTGTGCACGTGCTAGGGCAGCTTGGGCATTAACTGTAAGAACACAGGGCACTCTGCAGCTCCACCCACTGTGACTTTGAGAAGGACCTGAGCAACACCAGGGAGGGGAACGGAGCCTTCTAGGAGCCTCCAGTCTGTTGCAGGAAGCAGGACCCTCTCTTCAGACACTGTTCCCCAAAAGCCCAGAGGCTAGAGCAGAAACAGAGCTCCATCTCAAGGGCACAGGCGGAAATCTGAGCCCCAGTCAGCCCAGACAGGACTTGGGAAACCAGAATGCTTCCAAGGACGCCCTGAGAGTATCTTCTTTCCTGTAAACTCATGGGCCCTTCTTGCTGAAAACAGACTTAAATTTAATATTGCAGAATACGCAGACCCACAAAACTTCTTACATGACATTGGCGCCATCTGGAGAACTGGACAAACCCACTCTGAGCCCACTCACTAGTGGCAGCAGGTGCTCTCCCAAGTCTAAGGAGCCAGAGTTTTGACCCTGTAAGTACCTGCGAGGCCCACACAGCCAAGCAGACCAGTCTGCTTCACAGCACACACACCAGTTCCTGTGTGGACTTTGCCATGCTGACTAGACCCAATAAGCAAGCAGCAGCATGCACCTGAGATGTACAGGCCCTGGAGGTAGCAGAGCAACATACCCCACAAACCCCAAGGACCCACTCCAACGGGAATTTTGCAGGGTCCTGTGGTCTGGGGTACACTGAAACACCTCTTACATGATGAAACTCAGCTGCTCCTTTCACAGCACCTATTATGGTCATGGAAGATGGCATTCAGGCCCCAGGCCCTAGCCCTGCACTGGGCCATCTCAGAGTGACCTTCTACCTAGTTCCCCATCATCCAGGCTCTTGGTGTGGTGGGCCTAAAGCAACAGACAGCTCAGCAGGCACAGGATCTTCCAAACCCAGAGACTCAACAGCACTTGACTCTGCTAGCCTCTGGGAAGAAAAGCCTTGCCCTCCCGCAAACGCCTGTTGTCCTGCTGAAGGAAGCAGCCCTGGTGAGCAGCAAGCATATGATTAAGGGGCATGAAGTGACCAGAAAACACTCTCACCATGAACTCAGTGTTACCTGTAGACCAAGCCTCAAGGCTGGGTGGATGTGGCAGTGGCCTCATCAGGTAAAATGGAAAGAAGGAGACAGGGGTGGTCCAAAGGCAGGTACAGCACTTCTAAGCTGCCTAAGCCACAGAATGACACTGCCCATAACTGGGGCTGCTCAATCATCTGCCTTCCTTGGCCCATACTTGCAGCTTTGGGAACTAAGAAAGAAAAAGCCCTGAGGTTTATAGGATTCTGCATGGTACACTGGCACCAAACAACCCTGATTAATTCCTGTAGGGCACAGTCTCCTATTTAGGGTGGCAGCCAATCCTCCTGAACAGCAGGAACACTAAGAAAAACTCCCCAAAGCCAGGCCCCAACACTATCAGATGCAGTGTATGCCTGTGCACAGATGCCAGCCACATAGCAGAACACCAGTCTCAAAGGCACAGTGTTGCCTGCACAGCTCCCGAGGCCCTGAATCCCACTTCCACCCTGTGCACCAGCTGTCAGAAGCCTCATCCCAAGGCAGGAGGTGCTAACCAGGCACATGGCCACAGCTCCACCGTCTCTCTGGTTTCTTCATACACCATCCTTGATTCCCAGGGGGAAACCAAGCTGCCCCAATTCACTGGGAGATCATGTCTAAGGTCTAGAAGGTCCTGAGTCTCGGTTTAGTATTTCTAGGTATAAAAGTTAATGAGAG